TTGGGAGTGCGGCGGCGCTCCCGCCGAGGGTTCGGATCCCACATACAGACCGGTTCCCGCTCACTGGCTGAGCGAGGTGCGGGTGCGACACCGAGGTTTGTGATCCCGTTGCCGGTCCCGGTCAGGTACGGGCGCAACACTGAGGGTTGCGATCCGTTGCCGGACATGAAACAAGACAAAAAGGAAAAAAAAAAAAAAGAAAGAAAGAAATTGGTCACTTTATGGGCAAAAACACAACACAGAGGGAATTACTCAGGACTGGTTCTGTGTTGAGTCCATCCAAGCTGGCTAGTTAAATATAGAATATTCATGCAATAGAATACAAAGTAGCCATTAAATACTTAGTAGGAAAACATACTTAAGGATATGGACAATATTTTAAATATGTGGTCAATAGAAAATTAAGATTAACTGCTGGCTAGTTAACTCATTTGGTTAGAGCACAGTGTTGATAACACCAAGGTCAAGGATTCAGACTCCTGTACCAGCCAGCCACCAGAATAAATAAACAAAATTAAGATTAAAAAATAGGATGTACAATATGATCAGATCATTAAAAAAGAGACAGATAGTGAGAGGCCATACGACTTCAGAACATTGAAAAGGTCTGGTAAGGATTCAGACTCCTGTACCAGCCAGCCACCAGAATAAATAAACAAAATTAAGATTAAAAAATAGGATGTACAATATGATCAATCATTAAAAAAGAGACAGATAGTGAGAGGCCATACGACTTCAGAACATTGAAAAGGTCTGGTAATTTATTTATTCTGTTATGTAACATAATCTTATGTTACCATGACTTTTTAGTTCTGATTTTTTTTGCATTAAAAAAATTGAAAAGGAGACATTGATTTTAATTTAAATTTTAAAAAATCAGAAATTGTCTGCAAGAACAAGGGAGAAAATCAATTCCTAAAAAAGGGTTCTTGGTGATCACATTTATTGGAAGAGTTGGAGAAAAATTAAAATGTCATTTAGCTTAAGAAGTTGTAAGTTATCTGGATGCCCAGTTAACTCAGTTGGTTATAGTGTGGTGCTGATAACATCAAAGTCCAGGATTTGATCCCTGTAAAGGCCAGCCACCAAAAAAAAAGCTACAAATCAACTTTTCAGGAGTGGAAGAATCCTTGGGTTAGTTCTTAACATCAAAATGTATGCAGGTTTCTCTTTTGAATGTCTTATACATATAAAGAGACAATTGTACAAAGTCTCCTATTTTCCATAAGGATAAATTTTTTTCAGCCAACTCTCAGTGGAAAGGCAACTAGTATAACACCATCTCCCCAGACAAAAAGCATTGGAATATTCTGTTTCGTTGATTTATACATCTCTTCATGTTCCTTCATCAATTTCTATAGCAGTCAGTTTATTCCACATCTCCCAATATCATATTTAAATGTTGATCATAGCATGTAATCTGCCTCAAAGCTCTTCGTTGTTTCTCATTTTCACATAAATTTGCTCATCCAGGCTGACCTGCTGAGATCCAGTGTTAGTTCTTTGTGGTTGGTCTACGTTGTCCACCATATTTCAAACACTTAGTTATGATTTTGATTTTCTTTTAAATTTATTTCATATTTTAAATGCACTTCACAATTATTTCATACATTAACTTAAAATGTATTTGTGTACACACACATACACACACACATGCACAAATGTATGTGTTAAAAGGCAGGTCTATTTTGCCACCTAGCCACAATATTTCAGACAACTGCTAAATCCTATTAGCTTATACTATTTATCTCACTTTTGCATCTGACATCACTGGAAGAAAACATCATAAGGTAAAAGCTTACAGAATAAATTCTATTTAGCTGCACAGAGATTCCATGGACTGAGTCATGCTTGTTTATACTTTACAATGATGGCCAGAATCCAACCAATGCCACCTTCTCATGAATTTCCAAGACATGTCACCTGAATGTTTGTTTCTAGTGGTCTTTAATTTTTTCTTTGCTTATTCTTTTGACTTACACTTATTCCTATTCATACTTTATGTCCCTTGCTAGATTATTAGCATTTAAAAGTAACAACTAAGTGTTTTTAGTAATTGTACCATATAAATGCAAATATCACAGGGTTATACATATTGTAGGTCCACAAAATATCTGACTTTTGATGCTATATTCCATTTACATGAATTTATCATAAGGAAATAAAAATAGAGGTACACAAGTTATATGCACAAGTATATTTTTAGAGAATTTTTGATAACAAAAAACTGGAAACATGTCTAACAGGTAACATGTTAAAAAAAATTATGTTGTAGTATATACTGGCATACTATGCTGTTATCAATATCATATTGGTCCACACCAAAAAATGAAGAAAAGACACTTATGATGAACTACTGAGTGAGGCAGGTAGATTTTAAAAATAAGCAGTATTTGAGAGGTGGTCTCTTGAGGTAACTAATACACTCTGCTGTAAGCCTTTTAGGATGTGACTTTCAGATTTAAACTCTGATGCTTAATAACATCAGTACCTTAAAGTATCATTGGTGAATTGGGAAAGAATATTACCTAGCATATGAGATGAGATAGTCTGATGATGAAATAAAATAATCCATATAAAATATTTAATAAAATGATTGCTAAATGTAAGTTAGCTATTATTATTTGAGGTGAAGAACCTTACAAATTCCTTAATTTACTACTTTAAAAGAAATCTAATTCTACTAATTCATTTTTTCATACAACAAAATTCAAGTTCCTCTGGTATATATTTTATTATTATTTTTTTTTGGCGGCTGGCTAGGATGGGGACCTGAACCCTCTACCTTGGTGTTACTGGTACCATGCACTACCAGTTTGACCTGCATTCTTACAATGCTAACTAAAAAAAGGAAACAAACCCTCCTGAACCCTGTATTTTAGGCATCAACAAATATTTCTTAACCTTCACTATTTTTGTAATGCAACAATTCTTTCCTCCTTGGGTTCCTTCTATGGAGAATGGCAGGAACGGAGGAAAAGTTGAGTTATGACCTCACATACAAAACCTGTATATAGGAGGGGGTTTGAAATCTGTATCTGAGTTCACGGCACATTCCTGGGGTCAGAGATGTGGGACTGGTGTTGTTCTGAGACTTAAACTGCTCCCACAGGACTTCAAGGGAAGGGCTTCCACCAGGGTGTGTAACTCCAGGGGGCTCCCCATAGTGTCTTTACAGGAGCCTGGCTTAAGAGGTACCTGAAAGCTCTAAAAATTCTTATCCCAAGTTGATGTGTGCGCTTTCTTGTTGGTAACCTTCCTCCCAGCGCCCAAAATGTGGGGCTGGCTGGTTAGCTCAGATGGTTAGAGCGCGGAGTTATAACACCAAGATCAAGGTTTGGGATCCCCATACTTTCCAGCTGCCAAAAAAAAGGAAGAAAAAAAATGTGAC